GCGCCCCAAGAGGGCCCGTGAGGGCCCCAAGAGGGCCTTCAAGAGGCAAACATCGGCCCATTTCCTTCGTAAAACGTGCGTTTTCGGCATACTCGCTGGCTTCGTCTTCACAGTGCTGCAGACGCCCCCGCGGAGCCCCAACACAGTCCAAGAGAGACCCAAGAGGACCCAAAACGGCCCAAAAGGGTCGTCCTGTGGGGCTCACGGAACCCCCCGAGACGGCCCAACAGGCCCCCCAAAGCCGGCCCAGGAGGCCCCCAAGACGGCCTCAGGGAGGCCCAAGAGGGCCTCGTTCGAAATCATGTTCCCGGAAGCTCTCTGGAAACATGATTTCAAGGTTCCGAGGACGCCCAAGAGGCCCACAAGACAGCCTCAGCGAGGCTCAAGAGGGCCCGAGAAGGCTTGCAGATGGCCGAAGAGGGCCCCGAGAGGGCTTTAGAGGCAAACATCGGCCCATTTCCATAGTAAAACGTACATTTTCAGCATACTCGCTGGCTTCGTCTTCGCAGTGCCCAAGACGCCCCCGAGGAGCCCCAAGACAGCCCAAGAGCGACCCAAGAGGGCCCAAGACGGCCCAAAAGGGTCGGCCTGTGGGGCTCACGGAACCTTCCAAGACGGCCCAAGAGGCCCCGAAGCCGGCCCAGGAGGCCCCCAAGACGGCCTGAGGGAGGCCCAAGAGGGCCCCGTTCGAAATCATGTTCCCGGAAGCCTCTCCGGGAACATGATTTCCGGGTTCCGAGGACGCCCATGGGCCCACAAGACAGCCTCAGCGAGGCCCCAGAGGGCCCGAGATGGCTTGAAGGTGGCCGAAGAGGGCCCCAAGAGGGCCTTCAAGAGGCAAACATCAGCCCATTTCCATCGTAAAACGTACATTTTCAGCATACTCGCTGGCTTCGTCTTCGCAGTGCCCAAGACGCCCCCGAGGAGCCCCAAGACAGCCCAAGAGAGACCCAAGAGGGCCCAAGACGGCCCAAAAGGGTCGGCCTGTGGGGCTGACGGAACACCCCAAGACGGCCCAAGAGGCCCCGAAGCCGGCCCAGAAGGCCCCCAAGACGGCCTGAGGGAGGCCCAAGAGGGCCCCGTTCGAAATCATGTTCCCGGAAGCCTCTCAGGGAACATGATTTCAAGGTTCCGAGGACGCCTATGGGCCTACAAGACAGCCTCAGCGAGGCCCCAGAGGGCCCGAGATGGCTTGAAGGTGGCCGAAGAGGGCCCCAAGAGGGCCTTCAAGAGGCAAACATCAGCCTATTTCCATCGTAAAACGTACATTTTCAGCATACTCGCTGGCTTCGTCTTCACAGTGCCCCAAACGTCCCCGAGGAGCCCCAAGACAGGCCAAGAGAGACCCAAGAGGGCCCAAGACGGCCCAAAAGGGTCGGCCTGTGGGGCTCACGGAACCTTCCAAGACGGCCCAAGAGGCCCCAAAGCCGGCCCAGGAGGCCCCCAAAACGGTGCAGGGAGGCCCAAGAGGGCCCCGTTCGAAATCATGTTCCCGGAAGCCTTTCCGGAAATTTGATTTCCGGGCTCCGAGGGCCCCCTAGAGGGCCCCAGGACAGCCTCAGCGAGGCCCAAGAGGGCCCGAGATGGCTTCAAGATGGCCAAATAGGGCCCCAAGAGGGCCTTCAAGAGGCAAGAATCAGCCGGTCCCCGTAGTAAACCGTACATATTCAGCATGCTCCCTTGCTTCATCTTCGCAGTGCCCCAGACGCCCCCGAGGAGCCCCAAGACAGCCCAAGAGAGACCCAAGAGGGCCCAAGACGGCCCAAAAGGGTCGGCCTGTGGGGCTCACGGAACCTTCCAAGACGGCCCAAGAGGCCCCGAAGCCGGCCCAGGAGGCCCCCAAGACGGCCTCAGGGAGGCCCAAGAGGGCCTCGTTCGAAATCATGTTCCCGGAAGCCTCTCAGGGAACATGATTTCCGGGTTCCCAGGACGCCTAAAGACAGCCCCCAGAGGCCCCAGACGTGCCGAAGATGACCTCAGGACGGCCGACGACGCCGCCAAAACGGCCCAAGAGCGCCTCCAGAGGCCCCTCCAAAGGGCCCCAGAAGCCGAAAATCATCCATTTCCTGGTGGTTTTTGAAGCATTCTTGCGCTCTCCCATGTTCCGGCTCCCCACGGTCCCGGACCGCGTCAGAGGCCCTTCAGATCGCTCCAAGACGGTCGAAGGGGCTCCCAAGAAAGCTCAGAGACGGCCCAGGAGGTTCCCCAGATAAGTCAAGAGGGCCTCGAGAGCGCCCCAAGAGAGCCCCAAGAGCGACCCAAAGGGCCCGAAGAGCGCGACATGTTAAGGTGTCAAGGTCTCCGGCCTGAGAGGCTCCTAGGGCAGGCCATCAAACGGCCCCCAAGCAGCCCCGTGAGGCTCCCAAGAGGCCCCCATGGAAGCCACCTGCGGGCCCCCAAGACACTTCGGTAAATCGTATTTCCCAGATAGCTTTCCAGGAACATGATTCCTTGGGCTTCCGCCCACCGCCCCAACCATGTTTCCAATAGGCTTGCCGATAAGGCCAAAAGGCGCTCCTCGGTGAGTCCCCAGAGGCCCCCCTCTTAGAGAGCCGAACAAATCATGCTCCCGGAAAGCTTCCCGGGAACATATATAGGGTGCGGGCCGCTGCCTGTTCCCGCCATCGGTGCCCACCAGGGGTTGCGGGGGGGGGGGTCCAGAGCTCCCGAGGTGGCCCGCCGCCCCGAAGCAGGCCACGACAGACTAAGGGGGCCCCGAGAGGGCCCAAGACGGTTCCACGAGGCCCCGAAGACGCCCAAGATGCCCTCAAGACAGCCGACGAGGACTCCAACACGCTCCAGGACGGACTCAAGAGGCTCCCCAAGAGGGCCCTGGAAGGCACGATTCACTCGTTTACCGAGTGTTTTGGATTTTGGCGTTCTCGTTTTCCCCGCTTCCCAGCGCTCCCTTCACGGCCTCGGAGACACTTCAGATCGCTCCAAGAAGGCCCACGAGGCCCCGACGAGGGCCCCAAGACGGCCCAGCATGCTCCCCAGACAACCCAAGTGTGCCCCAAGAGCGCGCCAAGAGAAGGCCCAGAGGGGTCCCGAAGCGGCCCGGGCCCGCCTCGAAGCAGGCCACGACAGGCCAATGGAGGTCTCGAGAGGGCCCAATACGGTCCGAAGAGGCTCCGAAGACGCCCAAGCTGCCCTCAAGACGGCCGACGAGGACTCCAACACGCTCCAGGACGGACTCAAGAGGCTCCCCAAGAGGGCCCTGGGAGGCAAGATTTACTAGTTTTCCTATGGTTTTTGAAGGATTTAGGCGTTCTCGCTTTCCCCGCTTCCCAGCGCTTCCTCACGGCCTCGCTCGGAGGCTCTTCAGATCGCTCCAGGACGGGCCACGAGGCCCCGAAGAGGGCCCCAAGACGGCCCAGGAGGCTCCCCAGACAACCCAACTGTGCCCCAAGAGCTCCCCAAGAGAGGGCCCAGAGGGGGACCGCCAACCGATATTTCGAGGTCTCTGGCCCTAGAGGCCGCCTGTAGGCCCCCGGAGGCGCCCAAGAGGCCCCCAGGAAGCCCCAAGAGACCCCCAAGGGGCTCTCAGGGAACGCCCAAGAGGCCCCCCAACACACCCCAAGAAATCATGTCCCCAGAAAACTTTCCGGGGACATGGTTCATCATGGGCCCGAGAGTTCCCAGAGGCCCCCAAGGGGCCCCCAGGGAACGCCCAAGAGACCCCCCAACACACCCCAACAAACCATGTCCCTAGAAAGCCTTTCGGGGACATGGTTCATCATGGGCCCGCGAGTCTCTGGAGGCTTCGAAGTACCATCATGCTACAGGAGAGCTGTCTGGGAAGTTGATTGGGAACATGACTGATCGCCTTCTCGCGGCCCTCCGCAGATCGTTTCGCACAAAGTTGCCCCAACTGCCCTCTTGAACCGACGACGACGAAACGACGAAGACGACGACGACGACGCGCCCCAATATGCGACGACGACATTACGACGACGACGACGACGACGACGACGACGACGACGACGACGACGACGACGACGACGACGGCACGCCCCAACAGGCTCCCCAAGACGCCCCCAAACCCATGCTCCCAGAAGGCCTTCTGGGAACTCGATTCATACGGCCTCCGCCCCCCCACACAACCATTTTCCTCGAAGGCCTTTCGGAATGCAGACTGGCATACATTGGCATGCGTGTACTGTGGTCCATTACTTCAGTGGAGCAGTGAATTCGTCAAGGCCTGGGGCCTGCTAAAACCTGAGCGCGAACGCGATGGTTCTAGTATATTTGTAGCATATCTATAGATATAGACGTTGATGTGGATTCGTATGTCTGTGAACATGTATATGAATATGTGCATGTGTACGCGCATGTCTACGTGTTCGCATATGCATATGTCTGTGTCTATGTATTTGAGATGCATGTGTTTATGTGTATGTGCAGTGTATGTGTATGCATGTGCATATGCATATGTATATGTATATGTATATGTATGTGCAAATCTAGTTGTACATGCATATGCAGGTGTATACGTATGTATGTATATATATATATATGTATGCATCGGTATTTGCGTTCATGCATGCAGGCATGTACGTGTGCATGCATACATGCATGCATGCATGCATGCATGCATGCATGTATGTATGTATGTATGTATGTGTATACAGGCATGGATACACGAATGTATGTATGACGTTACGTATGTCTGTACGCAGGTATGTAGATATGTATGCATCGATACAGGCATGTATTTATGTATATGTGTGTATACGTATAGAATTATATCCATATGTATGTGTGCTTATATATGGCCATACATGCAAAAATAATGTCGATGTATCTATATATCGAAACCTATACAGGTACCTGTGCACATTCACACATATATCTATATCTATATATTTGTACACATGAGTCTATACTTTTCTGTGTGAACGCACGTATATGGCTCAAGGCTGGCTCAAGTGCCCGCGCACAGGGCGCGTTCTGGCTTCCTTCTGCCCCGAGACCTCCCATCCCGTTTCCTTAAGTTTGCCATGGCGGGCCTCTGCCGGGTCTGCGTTGCCCGCGGCGTCGAGGGGCTTGCCATGCCAGGTGGCCTCCTCTGCGAAGCCCACCTGCACGCACCTGCTCTGGGGCTAGCTGCGCCGACTATGGATACGTCGGCCGTGGAGGAGGACGACGCGATGAACGCCGCGCATGCCGAGCACTCTGGCGCCACGCAGGGCATGGTGGCGCTGCAAATGGCACCTGCCGTCACGGAGGCACCCTCTGCTTTCGCGGACTTGATCGGGCATCAGATGCTCGCGCATTTCGAGCTCATCCAGGCGGCGCACACGATCAACGACCACACCATCATCCCACGCTCCCTGGACACCAAAATTGAGTTCGACCAGGTCCTGAAGGCGCTCGCATACGTCCCCGACGCTGCCGAACCCTGGAGCATTCTGAGACTGGCACTTTTGGAGGGACCTGACATCTCCTTAAACACCATCGAGACGCGCCTCCGCTTTGCCAAGCTGCTGGCCTCCGTGATCGACGGCGCGAGCTGGCCCGAGCAGGACAAATCCGACGACCGCGCGTCCGTGCAGAAGATCTCCCGCGCGGCCGACGCCTGCTTCGACTCCTTCGACGCGTGGGTCCGGGAGAGGAAACGCGCGCGCCCCTCCAAACTCCCCCTCTGGAAGGAGCTGGGTAGCCGATGGTAGCCGCGCTTTCAACGTCGTACTCGACACCGCCCCATCGGGAACGGAGGTGGTGGGCACCCAACGGTCGAACTTCCTGGACACCACGGGAGGATCGACGAACCCCCTCTACAGCACCCGAGTGGCGACGGTGGGAATGGCCCAGCTGCTCGCCGATCTCGCGGAGAAGGGGGACCCCACCTTCTGTGACACGATCACGGCCACGGGCAAACCAGTCTCGATATGGGCTCCCTGCACAGCGACAGCACTGGGTCGATTGATGGCTTCACTGTTGCGGCGGGGCGCCAACGAGGTCCCCTGCGACTGCATCCGCTTCCTCGCCCCGATGGATTTGCACCCAGGTTGCACCGGTGTCGAGTCCATCTGCGATTTGTGGAGGCACGAGCTCCTGGGCGACAAGTGGCCAGGCATGACACGCAACGTCGAATTCCACCCGCAACTGCTCGAGTTCATCTCCCCTGGCCCTGCGGGTCCCCCCCACGAACTACTCGGCCTGGCGATCTTCACGATATCCTCTTCGCTGCTCCGCCAGGCGCCTCGCATTCGTGACCTGGAGGCGCCTATCTTGTCGACGGCTGTGCTTCCGACATGCTTCATGGACTTCCCCTCCGCCGTCGGCCCGGCGGTTATGCGCGTCTTGCGCGGCGGCCTGGGCGCATCTGCGGCCGTCGGACGCATCTACCGCAGCCCGGACCACGCGACGGAGACGCCCCGGGGCCGAGTCGAGGTTCGCATCGCCAACCGCGCGTCCTCCCTCACCAAGGAGCTGATGATGCGCCGCATCCGAGGGCGTCTCCCGATCGGCGTTTGCTCCGCCTCCGTGGACCTGTTCACGGACGCGGGCCCCCTCTTAGCCGAAGTGGGCCATGCGGACGCCATCAACTCGTTCTGGAACATGTGTTCGGGGGCGTTTTCCCTCGCCGAGTCCATTGTGCTCCTCGCCGCGGAGGCCGCCACCGAGACCTGGCAGACCACGATGGACGCTATGCTGCGGAACGACACTGACTCCGCGATCTTCAAGCTCAAGCGTCGCCCCTTCCGCCAAGGAGGTCGGCACTTCGCCGCCCCGTCAGCCCTCCGAGCAAGGCTGGCGGCCACGCGCCGCGCCAAGCAGACAAGGGGAGGTTCGGCGACCCTCCAAGCCATCGCGGACGTCGAGACAAAAGGGCACCTCCATGCGGGCGAGCATGTGCTGGCGCAGTCCCTCATGCAGCATCCGATCGCGCAGGCGGGCCTCCACCTCGCGGAACAGTCCGCCGACGGGGGCCCCAAGAACAGCTCATGGAAGTGGCTGTCGGCCTCGGACCCCTCTGCGCCACCAGGCCGCGCAAGTCTCTTCTTGAAAGACCCCTCGGAGGCCCAGAGGGTCCACAACGCGCTCCATGACAAGAGCATCCGCGTGGGAATGGGCACTGTCAGAATTCACGTGCGCAACGATTTGCAGGACCAGGTCGGGGGCGCAGACGCCGCTCTGCGACTCGCCCCTGCATGCTCCCCATGGTGGGCGTCGCGTTTTACTTCCTGGACCTCGCGCCCGCGAGCTACTGCGTCAACGCCCACGCCGGGGATTATTCGAATGCAGCTGCTTCTGCCCGCCATCGTCTTCCACCATGTCTGCCCCCCCTCCCAGACGAGCAAGCATCGCAGCTCCGCCAACGCCATGATGTTCCGCCATCTCTTCTTCAACGAGCTCTCGTTCGACGGGCTCTGGGCGTCTCTCCACCGACATTCGTCGAGGGGCCCAGGCCTGCCTCATCGAGAACGCGCCCGCCATTGCCGCGATCGGAGGTGGCGGCGCGCCCGTTTCGAGGATGTTTTTCCATCTGCACATGGGGCGCGCAGGCGCTCTTCGCCGAAGACGCGGGCCGCCGCAGCCTCAAGCGGGGGAAGTTGTTGCACCTCCTGAGGGGCCACGACGTCGTCGCGATCACCGAGTCCCACGGCGCGAGCGAGTCCTTGCAGCTGGCCACGGCCCCTCCCGGCACCATGGCGCGGTGGGCCCCGGGCACGTCTCGCCGAGGAGGCGTCGGAGTGGTTGTCGACGAATCCTTCTTGCAGCAAGTCCCCATCCAGGCCTGGGTCAGTCTTCACCCTGGGCGCGCCGCCGTACTCCGACTGGGTGGTCCGCGCGGTTCGACGGTCCAGACGGGCGCCTCCGCTGACTTCACTGGCCCCGTGGCTGAGCACGCTGTTGCCCGTCAGATGGAGGTGGGGGACGTTGCCCCCCTTGCCCAGCAACGCGGTCAGCTTTGCTCCACCATAGCGCGATCCACGCGGCCGTCTCACGATGCACTCACCATCATCACTGGAGACTTCAACTGGCTCGCCGTGGAGCGGGGCATAATCTCCAAGACCACCGGGGCTGCCACGGGGCGTCGGGGCCGCGAGGAGGAGATGCATTGGGCGCGCCTCCTGCCATGCACCGAAGTACACCAACCGTGCATGACCCATAGCTCCGCCCAGGCTCGCTCCAGCCTGACCTCCTTGATCGACAGGTCGCGATTGGGGTGGGCGACTGGAACTTCCAGCTGTCCAACCACAGGGCCGCGTTCTTTCCGCGCCGGACGCCGCCGCCAATGCCATCGACCTCCCGGCCCATTTCGTCAGAGTTGGTTCGACGCCCAGGCTGGCCCCAAGCCGTGGCACTCCGATATCTTTCCCTCCTCGAGGGAACGGCCGACGTGAGCGAGGTTCAACGCCTCGCCACCCTGCGTCGGGCCATGCGCGACGCATCCATCTCCTTCCAGGCGACCTCCGCTAGCAGGCTGGCCGAGAGGCATCTGGCGACCAGCTGGGCCGGGCCACGGCGTTCATCAGAGCAGCGGAGTCCCGTTCCACGCGCGCGATCTTGGCGGCGATCGCACGGCGTCCGCACCTCTGTACCTTGGCGCCCAACCCATGCGACCCGTCACTGGCGATGGGAAGGCGGCTTGCCCCGGTCAGGGAGCGCGCCGTCGAACTTGCTCGCGAGCGCGCCATCGCGGAGCTCGCGCGTCTTCAAGAAGCACCTTCGGACTTCCTAGAGGAGCTCAAGCATCGCGCCCGCCAGAAGAACCCCCGACCCCTGTCAAGGTTGTCGCCTGGGAAAGGGGAAGTCTGTTTCATGGGGCGCCCCGCGCGCGACCCGACGAGACGGCCGCAGATTTCCGGGCACGCTGGGGGCGGGTTTTCGCCAGGAAGTCGACCGAGCAGGCGCTGCGGCGACGCTGGTTCCAGGACGACCTGACCCCTGAGGCGTTCGCGCCGCTGCCGCCGGCAGACTCGCCGCAGCGGCAACTCCGTCGCGAGGACATCCAGAAGGCCATTCGGTGCTCTGGCTCGTCGGCCCCAAGGCCCAGCGGCATTCCTGCGGCGGCCCGTTCCGAATTGGGCGAGTTGGGCGTCGACGTGCCACTCGGAGCTTTTCGCCGCCTCGCTGGCCCCGACGGGGGGGACTTGCAACGAGTCCACCAGCCCGATTTCAATAGCTCTTTGCTACACCTCCTCCCAAAGAAGGAGTCGGGATTCGACGACGAAGTCGGCCACTACTACGACGCCGACAAAGTTCGACCAATCAACGTGGTCAACTTTGACAACAGGATCATCGCCAACGCTGCTCGCTTTCGCCTCGAATCCATAGTCGAGGATTGGACTTCGGGGATTCAGCGCGGGTTTGCGGGGGGCCGCTCACTTTTTAGCCAACGCGGTCGACATCGACACTCAGATGCGCGCGACAGCCCTGGCCCAGGAAAGCGGAGTTTGCATCTTCTTCGACTCCGCGGCCGCCTTCCCCTCGATCGACCAGACCTTCGTCGTGGAGCTGTTAGGGTGGATCGGCGCGCCGCCAGCCCTGCTCGATTTCATCGCGGCGCTGTGCCGCGGCAACTTCTGCCAGATTTGCATCGGAGGCCATCGGTTCGAGGGCTTCGCTTCGACGGCAGGGGTTCGCCAGGGCTGTCCGCTCTCGCCACTGTTGCTCGCAATTGCAGCAGATCTCATACTACGGCGTTTGCAGCGCCTCGTCACCGACGCCACCCCGAGGGCCTTTGCCGACGACCTGGCCCCGGTTTCGCGGGAGTTCCTGCGCGATGCCCCAACGCCGGCGGACCTTTTCCACGAGTGCGCCCTCATCTCGTGCATGGAGCTGAACATGGGCAAGACGGTGGTGGTGCCGCTGTGGCAGACCGACCCGGCCGTGCTGCGGGGCCAGATCGCGGCGCTGGCGCCGCGCTGGGGGGCCATGAAGATCGACTATGCCGCCGAATATCTCGGGTTCACCCTCGGCCCCGGCAGCGGGGGGCGATCGCGGCACAAGCCGCTCGCGAAGTTCGACGAGAGAGCCGAGCTGTGGGGCAAGACGGGCTGGGCGGCCCGGGTCAACCTGTTCTCGGTGCTCGGGTTCGTGGCTCAACTACTCCCAGCGCCCGAGTTCTGGCCTGTCCACGAATGCGCTGCGATCGCCAAGCTGTTCCCAGGCCCCCGCGGGTGATTATCTGCATCGGTCCTTCGGAATCCCCGACCCATCGGCTTCTCAGGCAGCTTCCCAGATCTTCAACTACTGTCTTTGGCGGCCCGTTTTCGGGTGGCGACATGCGAGGCGCCCAACGAAGGCGGCCTCCAGGTGCGATAAAGGGAGAGGGCACTCCGGCTGGACACGACGCAGAGCGAGTTTTTGTACAGGCGGGGCTCGCGGGACCGATGCTTCCAGGGTGCCGTCATCCTCCACTTGGATACTACCCTCGACCACTTCGGGGAGCTCGGCTGGACGCCAGCCCGGGTCAAGGCGCACGTCCTGAGGAACGGCGCCGACGACGACAGCGTTCCCGCCCAGGCGGCTACGTGCCGCAGGGCGCGGCTGAAGACAAGCCTTGACATCCTCCAGCGGACGCGCCCGGAGCCATGTGAGCGCTTCTGGCGCCGTAGGCTCGCTCGCTGGCAGATCGGCTTGCCAGCTGCGGCACGCCCCGTGCGACCGCAGGAGATCTTGCACCTCTTGCGATCAGCTTTGCTTCCGCGGGTCAGGGCTGCCTTGGCGCGCACCTGGTTCAACGGGTGGTGCGCGGGACGCCAGTTCCAGCAACGCTGTGCTTGCGTCTTCGGTTGTCCCGCCGAAGATTCCATAGGGTATTACTCCCGGTGCCCAGTGGTGCAGGAATTCTCCCGGCGGTGCCTCGCCCTGCCTCCTTTCCCCCCCCGCGTTTTCTGATTTGTTGTTGCTTTCACACCCCGTGCAGAGTTTCGGCCGGAACATCTTCGTCCGCATGGCGGTCCGCACGGCGGCCGTGCATATATTGCATTGCCGCTGGCAGCATGCGGACTCCGTCACGGCGCCCGCCGCCTCAGCCTTAGGCCAGGCGGCGCTGGAGTTGGTTCGCGGGCACCCCGCCGCGCGCACAGTGGCGTCCGCTCATGTGGGTGGGTGCCCGCCCGCCGCCGTGGCCCTAGTGGGCTCGGCCTGTTTTGCTTGCCCGTCTCCTCGGCCTCCTCGCCTCCCCTTCCCTCCCTCTGTCCATCCGTGCCGCTGCCGCCGCCGCCGCCGCTCATTTACCACCCGACTTCGTGTGATGTTTCATTTGTCGCCCCTCTTGGGGCCGCGCTCGTGGAGACATCCGTGCGAGCGCCGGCGACTGAAAGGTCCGTCGGTCTGCGCATGCGCGAGCCACGCTTTCTCGCTCCTCTCCCTCCTCTCGCTTCCTCCCCCGTCCGATTTCAAAGGCCGAAATTCGTGACATTTTCGTTGCGCGTTGCCGCCGTTGCCCACGCCTCCTCAGTTCTGGGTGTACCAGCCTATCCTCGATTTGGGCACCAGGCAGGGGGAGCCGTGATGTGACCCTCGACAGCGAGTGCATGGGAGGTCCCGGGGCTCCGGGGGATCTGCCGGGGCGCCGGGGGCTTTTTAAATCGACTGACGACGCCCTCGGATCGTCAGAAATGGCGCTCCCAGATTGCGAAAACGACCAATGGCGGCCCGAGATTGCCCCATAATTTGGCCGTGGCTGTCCAAGAGGCCCCCAAAACGCCCCAGAAGGCCTCCAAGATGCCTCCCATGGAACCCCAGCCCCAGGAGGCAACAATCATTGACTTTCAATGGTCTTTTGAAGGATTTTCGAGTTCTCGCCTTTTCAGTTTCCAGACGCTCCACGACGGCCCAAGAGGCCCCAATGTCCGCTCCAAGACAGCCACAGAGGCCTCGAAGACGGCAACAAAATAGCTCAAGTGGGCCCCAAGACGGCGCCAGAGGCGCCCAAGACGGCCTGAGAGGGCCCCAAGACGGCCCCAAGAGGGGGCCAAGAGGGGTAACACGAACCGATAATCCGAGCTTTCCACCCCGAGAGGCTCTCAGAAGGCCCCGAGAAGCCCCCAAGAGGCCCCAAGAGGGCCCAAGAAGCTCACCAGGGGACCGAGTAGGTTCTAAGAGGCCTCCCACGAAGGCCCCAAGAGGTAAACATCATTGTCTTGCTAACGGTTTTT